TCGTAATCAATATGTTCTAGCAAATTTGTTGAACAGATATCAAAGCTAGCACATTCAATCGTTCTTGTAACATGTTGATCGCAAATAAAATTTTAATAATTTCAATTTTGAAATACTTTTTTCGACAGATACAACAGTAATAAAAATTGTCGTTAATATTTTATAAGCGGTGAATGTATTTGAAAATCAACCCGATCTTTTCAAATAAATTAATATATCAAAAGCTTCTTTTGTTTCTTTTGGTAAAAGATTTTGCAAAATTTTCGCTAGCACGTAAATCAATCCAAATAGTCATGTTATTGATATGCACATTATTCATTTCATGTTTTTTAAGCCTCTCACTAAAATGTTCCCAATCATTAAAATGGTTATATTACTACGTATATTGTACTATTGTAGTGCAAGCAACAAAAAATTATGGTAGCGTTTCTTCTCTTTTTTATTTGATTGTTTTTCGTGGGTTAAAGGTGTGAGAGAACGAAATAGTGAAAAGGGGATTTGTGGTTAGCTTTTCACACTTCACCTTAATCACTTAGATTTTGGGTTGCTTGTTGTCTTGTTGGATTGATAATTGTTTAACGAAGTAAATGGGGGCATTTGGGACTGGGGGTGGTAAAATAGATAGATTAATTAATTTAATTTTTTTTTGAAAGTAAGGTAGTTTTAAATTTGAATTTTTTTCAATAATATGCTAAACTAAAAAAATATTAATGTAATATAATTTATTTATTTTACTCTTTTCATAGATATTATGCCCTTTAACTTAACGTAATAACAAAAATTTAAAAATTTAAAATTAGTCAAACATTTTAAATATATATATATATAATAAAAAAAAAATTTGGTGCCCTTACAATGTTGAGACCATGTGTTGCTCAACTCGTGCACTCTTAGAGTCGTCTCTGCTTGTTTAATAGTCATTACAAAGCATAGATACATTGAAAATTCTTTCCTTTTTGAATTTGAATAAATATCCTTCATCTTTTGTTGGAATTAACGGGATGCGTGGAAGGAAAACTTGTTTTTCAACACGTTATCCAATGATTATTTCTGCATAGATAATATGTTTTTTGAAATCACAACAAATCATTCGTATTCCATTGTAAAGATCGTTGGATGGGTCTAGATTTATTAAGAGCATCACCGAACAATTTCTTTTCAAGATTAATTTATGTGACGAGATACTATTTGACACTCATTTAGATAAAATTGATTTGTATCAAATATTGCTTCATCAAAACTGACAAATTCTTTACTTTCTTCTAGAAATAATCCAATTAGTTTGTTATTGAGGTAGTCAGCATACGCATTTTTTGTTGAAAGAATTCCACGTTGTGTCATATAATCAGAAGAAGATGCATTTTTCGTTAAACTTGGGAACACTGCATTGATTTAGTGGGACTCCGAAATTTTAGTATCGTCACAAGCTATAACTATATTATTTGATAAGTTAATAAAATCATCATCTATATAAGGTTCTATTCCATTATCACTTTTGATCAAGTATTGTACAAATTGATTGTCCAATATTATTTTTAATATGTAATATTAGGTTTGAAAAAATTTAAATGTATAAGTAATATTGTTCAAGTTAATTATATATATAGTAT